CTTTTATGGACAATGAATAAATATAGCAAAGGTGTCCTGGCCATTAGCAAACACACTGAAGCTTACAATACATTACATTCACAGAAAAATAAAATAGTTTCTGGGGTATGCTGTATTATGTAATGCTTATTAAATAATAAATATAACTTTTATTCTTATTATTCTATTTTCAATATATCTTGTATGTTTCTTTTCTATTCTACTTTTATTTAATGTGTATTTTCTTACCTGTTGTGTTGTATCTGGAGCTGCTTTAACAAGTGAATTTACCCAGTGTGGGATCAATAAAGTCTATCTTATCCTATTTAATCTCATAACACAAGCACACAACAAAGGGGATATTCATCATTGTATAACAGCAAAAACAGTTTCAAGTAGTAATAGAGCTTGGCCATTAAAAAATGATGATTATTATCGCGATATAACTTTCCTCAATAACAATATAACAAATGTTTGATTTAATTCATTTGAATCACAAATTAATTAGCACTTAATTTTTCTATTACGATATTTATTCTGTTGAGGAAAAGGCACCTAAAAGATTTCATAATAATTGTTTTGAATGTTCTACCTCAGATTTGAAATGATCCACTGTTTGGCATCAACTGTTTGTCATGTTCTGATCATAAAGAATAGTTTAAAACCACAATTAACTATCTGGTTTCTTCAACTTTCATTTAGGAGCAAAAATAAGGATTTGACATTATCGATATCGAATGATATCAAATATTTTATCGTAGCATTTTTGGATTATCACCCAGCCTTAAGCAGTAGTGTGCATTCTCCCCATGTGACAAATAAAATAAAATAAAGTATATATATCAGAGATATAAAATTAAGATTTGTATCCAAACACAACTCTTACTTTAACTTTTAGCTAAGACTATAGTGATGTGGAAAAACATGAGACACGTGTGCATGTGTACCTGGAACATAACCCCTCTCATGCCTCAAGCGCTCAACCATCTCTGGGACGTGCTGCTGGTGTCCGGCCTTGCCCAGAGTGAAGATGACCTGCATGATGTCCCTGTCCATCAGACTGCAGTCTGCACTCTCTGCTGCCTCCAGAGTCTGACACAGAGAGAGTGAGAGGAGAAAGGAGACAGCGAGGATGAAGACAAAAAGGGAAGAGGTTGTTTGGGAGGAAGGGAAAAGAAAAATCAAGAAGTGGAAGAAGAGGGAATGGGGGGGATGATAGGGAGGAAAAGAAGGAATGAAGTAGAGAAGAAGGAGAGATGGAGAAGGGATGAGGAGCAGGAAATGGGAGAAAAGGATAGAGGAGTATTTCAAAAGCCAATTTTTCATTAGATACAATGTGCATCAGCATCGTCTTGACAACCAACTGAATAAACACTCACACCTTTTTCAGACTGTCTAGGTCTCCTTTCTCAGCGTAGGCGTTAAGCAGTGACACATAAGTATCAGGTCCCGGTTCAATTCCTGCTCCCCGCATCACAGTCAGGATGTTCTTTGCACTCTCGATGTCCCTGCACAGTGACACAAGACAGCAGGTTTAGAATCAAATTATTTCAACACAAACGCTTTTTGTGTGCTATTAAATACAGCAACAAAAGAAAAAAAAGCAGGGGCACTCACCCTGCACGAGCATGGCCCGTCACCAAGGAGTTGAAAACAGCCTCAGTGATGGGTAAATCTTTGCTCTTCATGAAACCCAATATCGTGCTGAGGAAGTAAAAAATGGAAAAATCAACTGTTAAATCTAAAAGACTAAATTTCTGTTTATAAAAGACTAATAATAGGTACTGGTTGGGAAAAAAATAAATCAAGCAATATATCTCATAATGTAGAAGAATATCAAACACCTAATAAGCTTGAAAGTCAGTTTTTGATCACAGTACAACAATCATCGTTAGCAGCAGATGTCAGAGCCTTTCATCAGATCATGAACTGTGCTGTTGGTTGGTTCACGAGCAGAACAGAAAGTTTGCTCACCTGGCTCCCTCGATATCTCCATTTTGGCAGTAGGCTGCTATGAGTCTCTGGTAGGTAACCTGTGCACAGAAATAATAGGAAATCCAACAGAGTGTGGATCAGCCAGGTGAGGTGCTATTTTTTTTAAAGGGATGTGAATAATAATTTAATCTACCAAAATCTTCATGTTATTGTTCAGTTGGCACGGTTGTGGTTGAAACACAAATTTAACCACATATTTTCCCTGCCATTATTGTACCCTGTACTGCAGTATTTACCCTGTTGGGCTGGACGTTAGCTGCTTCCATCTTGGCCAGGAAGTCAGTTGGGGTGAACTTGAACTCATTCTGCAGGTAAACCTTCAACAAGGCGTTGTAGTGGCTAACATCATACTGTGCACCTGGGGAGGACAATGTGCAAATCTATAACATTAACCTAAATATGACTCCTGATGATCAAATACATGAGGATGAAACCATGGTTAAATACTTTTACAGTTTAGCAGCAGGGACAGCAACATGGCACTTTAGATAATAAGATAAGATAGATAGATATTAAGATAGATGTTGCATTGGTGCAGCTTCTTACCCAACTCCTGCAGCTTCTCCCACACGCGGTGTGCCAGCTCAGTGCGCTCCTCCTGGGGCACCTCTGGCAGCAGGGACCCACAGCTGCGCAGCAGTAACAAGGCCTGGTTTCCACTGGGATAACCTGCAAACAGACAAGAACAGAAGGTGAGGATAGATGTAGAGAAAGAAAGACAACAAATGGGGAGAGTCAGCTGGTCTAATACAAAGAAATATAAAGCACACAGTTCAATACACTGTATAATATAGCTTTGTTCATGTTCATAAGACAAGTCAACTGTGTCCATCTCTATCTGACATTCAACCTTAAGACCCCTGATCACTGTTCTGCCGGCCTACCTGTCCTGCAGATATCATGGAAGATGCGGAGCAGCAGGGTTTTGGTGATGCGACCAGTTCTCCTCACAGAGCTGTCCAGCTTGGCCAGAGCCCAGTCAAAATGCTGCGCCTGCTTGGACCGCACAGCACTGCTGGCCTCATCCTTCTGCTCTGAGGCCACAGCGTAGTTACGGACACACCCCACTGCATATGGCCACACACTACTGTGGAGGATTAGATTGTGACAGTAGAGGGCGGACAGAGGAGGATACAGTGAATGATACAAGAGCATAAAAAAAGAGTGTGATAACTCAGAAAGGGAGAGAAAGGAGAGAGGAGATAGGACAGAGAGAACAATCACAGATTGATACAGTGGTTGCGGACAGCAGCTATCCTGAATTGTTTGAATGGCACCGTATGTGTTGAGTGCACAACAATAAACGTCAAAAAAACAATAACAACACAGATATATCTCTGGATGTTCTGCCTGCTTAAAAGGCAGTAGTGTTATCAAGAGCAATGACCTTGAGAGAAAAGGCCCCAGTATATGGCTGCTATGCATCATCTTTGACATCAGCAGAGGTCAGTGTTTCTCTAGTTCTTCATGATCAAACGCAACAACTTATGTGAATCTTTAGCTTCAGCATGTCAACGTAAATTGCTCATCTCCAATGATGAGCCTCTTGCTAAAACCTAGCATGTTAAGCTAATTAAAACTATAGTAGCCTAACAAAGAAGATGACAGCACAGTTTGCTAACAGTTTATCACTGGACTAAGTCGTTGTAATTGGCTTCATTATGAGTCGTGAAATAGACTGTGAGCATACTACTACACAGCATCTGAGCATCACCTTGTGTAAAACCATGGGGGCCATGTTTACTCAACCAGACAGGTGATTACTCAAGTTGTTGACAACTTACTCTAACATAATGCCACATACGTCAACACATTACATTTAATACTGCAGGTCATATTGGTGAGAATACGTGTGTGTGTCTGGCTGTCATTGACCCTCAATGACATCTCTGCTTCACGCGTGGATCACAGCTACACGGGCTAACGGGCTGCGTGATACCTGGGCGCATGTTCCGCAGCAGGGCTGATCTGTCTCGGACTAACTCTGGTTAATCTTCCGCCGAGGGCTCCGCTGTACAGCCGACCGAGCTGCGGCCCGTTTCTTTTGGTCCCTGTGAGCTGAAGCAAGCCCGAAGGCGAAAACTTGAGTATCCGTGCTGATCTCAAGAGCGCAGCCATGTTTTCTAGTTGCACCGTGTGGAAGGGCATCCGCACCACGTGACCGGTTCAAGAAAGTACCGCGAGAGCACAGACGGAGGGCGTGAGTTTATGCTCTGACATACTGGTGCTGTAACTGTAACTATCATGGTGTAAAATAGTTTATACGTTTTGGTGAGTCTATTGTAATTCTGTTATAACCTACAAATAGAGCTGACTTTGTATACATGCATAAAGATGAAAAGATAATATCATATATTCTGCATGTAAATATTTATTTTGAGCATTAAAGGTTATTTTTGTAAGTGGTGCAAGCTTTGTCCAAGGCGAACTCCTTGTATGTAAAAATTTACTTGGCATTAAACCTGTTGCTGAATTTAACTGAGAAAACAACACACACTGGGGAAGTAGTTTTTGTCAAACTATATTCTTATTTTATTTAATGTCAACTCAAATATTACATTTTACCTGCAGCTATTTGCTAGTTTTACAGTGTTATGTATTTTATCTGTTTATTTTTATCATACTTACTGTAATGGGTTTTTTGTTAAGTGTCTTTTTAGTGTCCTGAAAAGCACTATAGAAATAAAATGTAAGCCTATTATTATGATTATAATTATTATGCAAAATCCCACATACAAAAAAAAATTATATTAATATTCAACTTACACCTAGTCTAACATCTTAAATTTTATAACCAGGTCCAAGAAAAATGTAAGTATCTACATCAGCAAATACACCACTGCTTTTTGTAAATTTATGAATTTATATCCAATTCTCTAGTCTTGTTTGTCATAATCTTAAACTCTAGTTCTGCTTGTTAAACTTTGAAACTACAATTTTAATGTGACGCAAGAAAGCATTACAATATTAAGAACACACTAGTAATGACAGTCATTTCAGTGGTTGAATTTCATATTGAGAGAATATAAATTAGGTTAATATATTTTTATTACAACATGAACTTTTACAAACATTGATACACTTAATTAGTTCAGTTCTTCAATTAACTTACTATTCCCTTTGGTCTTTCCTTTCTTCAAGTTCTCCTCAACCACAGTCTTTGCTTTCTCCATGCTACTCCTTACACTCTCTCTTTTAGTGTGTTCATTCCACAAGTCAATAGCTAGTCTACGAATCTGCTGTGCATTGTCCAACACCCAGGCTTGAAAGAATTCACACTTCTTGCTTGCAAGGAAGTACTTCTGTCTCCTTGTCCCATCCTCGCCCTCTTTTGACAGTGCTGTTCTGGCTCGGGAGAGCAATGAACGAAGCTGACTCAAGGCGGCCAGGCAGTATCCTGTGGCATTCTTTCTGTCTCTGCCGGTCATGATGTGAGCCACGGCTTCAACCGCCCTGGCTGGGGCAAGATGGTCCTCCTTGTCGAGGTAACCTCCACCCAAAATGAGACTTTCTCCACAGTCTAAGGCCTCTTGGACAGAGTTGAACACCCTGCTTGAGTTTAGTGCCTCAGACAGAGCAAGAATCATGTCACAGAACTCAAACATCAGTGAATCAGTGTCACCATTATACAGGCACAGGGTGAAGGTGTAGCCAAAAAGTGCATTGACCAAACCATAGCACACCAGGGGAGATGGATTTGCACACAAGGAACTCAACTTTTGAATTTTGGCAGATATTGGAGGGACACTGGGAACGGATGAATTCTCCTTGCCTTTGCTTGTTTCCTTTCTGTTTCCTTTAATCTTTCTCAGCTTCATAGCTGATTTGCCCCGACTCTGAACCACTTCTTGTGCTGTCTCGGCTATGTTATCAACATCCCGTCCATCCACAGTTGTTGAATTTTCTCTCTCCAGTTTGCTCACTTCCTCCTCAAGCACCTCCACCAGCGCTCTACCTCCCTCCTCATGCTCCTCCCACCACGGCTTCCACAAGGGAACCAGCCCGCCAAGAGCTCCACCCTTCATCAGACCCATAAACATCTCTTTCTCTTTACTGTTAAGAAGTTCCCACAGCTCCTCTTCAGAAAGTTTGTCAATATCCAGCCCTGAGAGCCGATCAGCCAAGTCCAGCTCTCCTTTTGCACATCCCGCATCCTGATCCACATCTCCAGGCAGCACCTCCCCTCCTCCAACTTCTTCGAGTTTCCTCAAAATAGCCTCAATCTCTGTTTCACTCCCTTCTCCAGACTGTTGAAGCTCTGCTAACCTGGACAGGAGCTCCACAATCCGCACTTTCTCTGCTGCCTCTCCTTCCCCTTCGTCTGTGTCATAGGTCACAATACCCGCTTCTTTTAACAAGCTTTCCATGCCCCCATCTGTCCTTTCCGCCTTTTGTCTGAGTCCCAAAAGAACCTCCTGCATTTTCTTTCTCCCCTCACTTTCTGTTTTCCCCATATCCTTCAGCTCCTGTAGAACGGACTCCTTGTAAAACTCCTCAGAGCACACAGAGTGATCGGGGCTCTGGTAGCAAGCCAAGCCACAGTAATGCAGGTTACATCGAGGGCAGGTGTAACAAGAGGGCTTACATTTACACAGCATGCAGACTGCACTTCTGGTGTTACTACCATCCACTGCAGCCTCTTCCCCTTGTGTTTCGGCTGGCGTGAGAAACTCCTCTTGTGCAGAAGCAGCTCCTCTGGACGGGAGCAAAATCCCATCTCTGTTCACTGTGTCGGCCTCTGTGTCAGTCCACTCCGTCTTCGGGCCGATATCCGTCAGAAGGCTCCTCACAGACTGAGGAAGTCTCGGTCTAATTAATGGATTCATTAGCGGGCAAACTGGACAGATGTTGAATGAAAAAGGAAGAGAAAGTTGTGAGGTCTCAAGTTCAAAAGAGGAAACCTAAGAATCAAACAAATGACATTGATGTTAGTAGGATGTGTGTAATCATTAGTTACGTTACTACCACAAAGTGGATTTGACCGTTTAGGGGGCTAACGTTAGCTAACGTAACGTAGCTTTACCACCGTTATCCGATTGAAAATTACTTTTAAGGTCACCAAGAAGACTTTGCTGGCAACGTTCAGTGTTAATATAACGGCGATAATATCTTAAAGAACAAATTGTACTTACTTTCCAGTTTTTACACCAACGTTTCACGTTTGTTCTGAGAATCATGCAGCCACGTCGCCTTTTGATGACGCAATAGTGACTTAAAGCCACCTGGTGCTACCTCTACAACAACAGCTCCTACTCGTAATAATAATAATAATTTCTCTTTAAATCAGAATCAAATCCACTTTATTGGCTAAGTATAGGTACAAAATGAATAATTAGTACCCACAATACAGGGAACAACAATGGTGAAAAAATAAATGTAAAAATATAGATCATATCAATAATATGTACACAAGTATGTGAAAGAATACGGCTGTGTATATATAAAAAGCACCAATGACCAATTGAAATGTCTATATAGGCTACAAGTGTTTTTGTAAGTTGTTAACAATACAAATAGCACAAAGAAATAAACGTTTGAAAGATTTGCATGGAGTGGATGATCGTGTACAGTATACGCATGTATACGACTAAATTATTTTAATGCATATTTTGTAGTAAAAATTTCAGAAGTCAGGGAAATAACAAAAGTATTTTGTTGACAAAATCACCTTACCTCAAGGTAAATTAAGAAGCTGTTCTGGAGCTTTCAATCATATCACATGATCTTCAGATCAGGAAATATAGATGTTCAAAATGACGTTGTCTTTCACCTTGACTTAACATTGAAGAACCAAACTTAGCTGACATTGTTATTCCGACTTCAGTTTCGAAGTCAAGAATAAATGCTGCAAAGAATTTTATTTGTGAAATGTGAAGTAAGTTACCCAATATGACAAAGTTGTCATAATATGACCACCATACTTAAAAATATTTAATATAACATCAAAAATGATCATGTAGTCCTTGTAATTTGAAAGCAAAAACAGGAACCTTTTTTGTTCACACTTCAATATTTTGTTGAAAATAAAGTTTTAGGAATGGCTAAAATATTTACAAGATGTTTTCCAGAAAATTTTTCTACAATGTTAACGTGTCTGTTGAACTTAACATATCTCACAAACTAATTTACAGACTCCATCAAGGACAATCCAGGTTAAAAGAACTTCTTACAAATACAGTGTAAAAACAATTGCAATTTGCCGCTTCTTTTACTTTGCCATATAGACTACTTGGTCTTCTCCAGTCCCAAAAATTGAAACGTGTTGTATGTTCATGTTACACCTTGACCATTGCCATTGCTACTTTGTTATTGCATCCATTCAGATTTCTGGAACCGGAAACTGGTTAAATGCTCACTGACTAATACACAGAAAATGTTCTCTTTGTGAACTGCTGACTAACTGACTGAACAAATTTCACATTTGTTCCACGAGGTCCTACTAGTGGCACTGCCCACATAAGTGAATGGCTTGATCCCAAAACTGAGCAAATCCTTAGACTACCCTGGCAACTAAATGACTGAACAAGCTGAGGGCTGTTTCACAAAAGCAGAATTTAGAAATCCAGGATAAGAGATAAAGCTAGGCTTGACCCAGTGTGATCAGTGGATCCTGGCTTTATCAGTTTCACAAAGGCCAAACCAGGCTCAAAAGGTGCGACTATGTCAAGCCAGGTGTAAGTAATTCAGATAAATGGGTGTCAATAGCTTTCTTCAAGAGACCACACGGTCGATCACAGAGTCAATGATGCTGAAATGGAAAAGACGTGTGCAGCATACTTAATTCGCTGTTACTCACTGTAGTAACTAAGTATTGTATTTCTTTGATGAAAAAATGCACATAATATAAAAAAAATAAGTAAAGAAACATTTCTGCAGTATTAAAACAGCGAGAAAAAACGTGGCAGACAATAGAGGTCCGACTTAATAAGTAATTAGCTAAAAGTATCACTGCTCCTAACTGAAATTGTCATAATTATAACGTTACCATGAATGGTAATGTTATGTCATACCTTAAAAGTGAGCAGTGGACATTAATAAGTCACTCAGCAAAGTAGCAAGTATTAATTACAACCACTAATCAACATCTATTCAATTCAATTTTATTTATATAGCGGCAGTTCACAACAAAAGTACTTCTTTTCTTCATAGTATTACCCATTTTACCCTATTTTGAAATAATATTCAATGCTGAGATATATGAGCGGGGAGCCTGACGGTCCTCCCCCAGATGTTTTTGAGCATTAAACACTTAATTTTCTGACGTCTGACAAAAGACTGTATCATATCTGTAACTTCACCCTGAGGCTATAATCCTACAGTCTGACAGCCAGTCTGCCAATGTAGTAAGTATAAGGTGAACAATTCCTGCTGTGCTAATTGATATGTATGCACACTTTGTAACCGTGTTACTTTTTCTTTTATTTATCATTTATTCTTTACAAGTGCTTTTATTTCACATAAACCTACTCGCTGATGCTCATTGTGTGCAAAGTATAATACTGAAAAATATGCAAAACACATAGGCCTACATAAGAACATGGAATGACTGAAAAAAACACTTTGGTTTCTGATCGGTGTGACCGCTGACTGAACAGATAAGGCACCAGGATTAACTAAACCTGGTGAATCGCCATGGTAATTTATGTGCTACTGCTTTCGTGAAACTGAGTCAAGGCTTAATTCAGCCAGGATATCTGGAAAATCCCGGCCTAATCCGCTATCCTGGTTTTGTGAAACAGCCCTCTGTTGTTATGAAGAAAAGTTGTGATGTTATTTTAGTGAAGCCCTTCTGTTATTGGAAAGCAGCCAGACAGGTCTGATTGACTCATCACAAGCATGTTAGGATGTCACATGTAACTGTCCCTGCATCTAACTTTCTGTCAATCTGTGTGTGCATCATGTATGTCTGTCTATTTGTGTGTCTTCCTGCCTGTGCTGTGTGTCTACATCTCCCGTGGGGCTGTTTGCTATGAGGTGATTGTCTCCTGCAGGGGGTCAAGCATGGTAAAGGTCATGCAGGTGGGGAGTTGTCAAATGGCTGTCCACCCCTCACTGGGCCAAGGGGTTCCCGTGCCGCCTGTCAGAGCCCGTGGGGAAAGGGGGAGGATGAGGGGGGTCTGAGGTCGACGTGTGCCATGCTGTCTTGGCCCCGCCCCTGGCTGCCGTGCCAGCAGTCCTGGGTAGGTTGCTGCCTCCTCGAGTCTCCTTTATTCTTCACTGGCATGTCCTGTGACATGTTAGTACCACCAACACTAAATCCACAAGCTTACTGACTGTTACATTGGTGATACGTAGTAATACAGAATGTCATCCAGGTTAGCTTTTTGTCCTTTTTGCATGAGTCTTGGCACAGGTATGGTATTTTTGCTTTTAGTTGGCAGTATAACCACAGACAGGCAACCCTACGAATACACATTGATTAGGACCCCTGTGATGTAAATTAATATGCAGACAAGGTAGAAGATTTTATATAATGATATTAGTCAGACACAAGAAAACATCTATAATGCGTATGAAATCATCTCATATACAGTATAGTGTATGTGGAGATCCGTCCGTGCCTTTATGCCAAACTACACTAATTGCGTGTGTCATGAAAGATTTCAGACTTAAAAATGGGATTATAGTGCAAGAAAATGTAAAACAAACAAACATAAAAGCACAGTATAAACACACAGGCTCACACACATCCATCTGTCTCCCACAGTGTCACACCACTGTCTCCCACCAGCTGTCAGGGAACAGCCTCTGCCTCTTGGGCATGTACAGCCCTGGTATGTCTGGAGCTGTGTATTGTATAGCAGCAGGGCATATATATATATATATATATATATATATGTGTGTGTGTGTGTGTGTTTTTGCATTATAATAAGCCTATGTTGATGTAGACTGTTCTGTCACCTGTCAGCTCAAAAGGATCTGGTATTATAGGGCACCCAAAAGGGAGACCGTGTGTGTGTGTGTGTGTGTGTGTGTCTTTATGTGTGTGGGGGAGTCTGTGTCTTATGTCCAGTGTCTACGTGAGCAGCCAGAAGCAGTTTCAGTTTGACTCATTGCATTCAAACTTGAGCTTTTTCTTTCTCGTTACATGTCTTTAAAGTTCAACATATACAGTACTACAGTGAGGAAACAATTGTTGACTTTGTGAAAATATCATATTATTAAATTGCAAAATTCTCACCTGTAGTACAGAATAAGAGATGAAAGCTCAGATGTGTGTGTGTATATAACCATATTTAGCCAGGAATGTGCACCGCAATAATTTAAAATCTCTTTTTCAGGAGTGTCCTGACATGGATTGAAGCAGCACATACAACATACTGTAGTGGTTGCATTACAAATAACACACTTACAATGAAATAGATAAAATATAAAGACAAGAATCACAGGTTAACAAAACAGATATGAGTAGAAGGATAGTAAAAAAGTTGGCAATAGGTGGCAATAGACAACGCCCGCTTATTATATGTTGTGTACCAATACATGAAGTGTGGACCATGCTGAGAAAATACCACGAAAATCAAATGATTTTTTGTCACAAAGGGCTTAGCTCCTGTTGCCAATAGGTGGCCAGTGAAACTGAGTGAAAATTTCTTCATGTAGATGTGTTCAGGGCGGAACTCAGCTTTGTTTCATGGCGAATCATCAATATTTGACATCATGCCATGGACACGCACATTGACGAAAAGTGACAGATAGCATAACTTTTTATCTTCATTGCCTTTAGATTGCACAGCCAAAAACTGAAGTCCATCCATTTAATTCTGCATGAGGACCCTGTAATAGGCCATAAATGGGCTGACATTGCACACACACCTGCTTTTTTGTGCATCTTGGGATGATACATGGGCAACAAAAGTTTTGTGCATCTAGGTCAAACAGGTTGAAGGGTCACTTCCTGCTGCCAGTAGGTGGCACTATAAGTACATTTTGGCATGTAGATTTGTTCAGGGCTTGACCCTTTTCACATGTGAAATTTGGTACAGACATGTGTACAGTGAAGTTACAACATTTTTCCGTTTCATGGCGAAGCATCGAAATTTGACGCGACACCACGGACAAGCCGTTACGCAAAAACTCACAAGGTTTTCAACATAGCATTATCAATTACTTAAGGCTGTTTTGAGGTGGGTGGGGCCGAGTACACTTCCTGTTTCCAGTGGGTGGCGACTTTGAGTGAATGTTGGCATAATGGATGTGTTCAGGGTGGGACTGAACATACATGGTAATTTTGGTAC